TCCAGCTCGCTGAAGAAGCTGGAAGTGCTCAACCCCCCCCCACACACACACACCTGGCCCAGTTTGAGCATCACAGCTGAGCTCCGCAGGTTGCATTTTTAAAAGAGTAACCACTCCGACCTGCCGCTTCCCTCCTGTGCACGATTCCTGTGCACGATGGGGCTGCTCCAGAGATCTGCAAACAAAACTACCGGAGTCCTGTTCTAAATAACACACGGCAGCAGGACAGGTGACGTTAAAATCACCTTTTTATTAGTCGATAAGGAACAACACTTCCTGTTGTCGCTACTCTGCAACCTCGAGATGAATACCTGCACAGAAAGGTCAAAGGTCAAAGGTGATGCAGGTTTGAAGAAATATGACTTGAGTTGTTTTCTTTATTCTGTCATTGTTCACTCTGTCGTCATCCAGTTTTCTTCTGTACGACTCTCGTCCCGCAGTTTTCAGCTGTTTCAACAAATCATGAATCAAAACGTTCGGCTCTTTCAGGACAATCCTGCTGTGACTTTTGGTATTGGTGCAACTTTAGCTTTTTGACATATTTAGCCTTTTCTGACATTTTTTCCCTCATAGAAAATGAATTGAGCTCATTTTCCTTCATATCTTTAGATGTGTTTAACCTTTTACTGCTCCTTTCACATTTTGTTCTGCTTCAGCTACTTTCGGCTAATTTCAGCAGTTTTTCGCTCTGTTCAGCTTCTTTATGCTAATTAAAACATTTTTGTGCTTCTTCTAAGTAACGTCTTCCTGCTAATTTCAGTTTATCCTCCTTTCAGCTGTTTTCTGCAACTTTGAACGTTTTCTACAATTTCTGCTACTATTTAGCTGTTTTTATGCTAATATCAACTTTTTCAGCTAATGTCACATTTTTTGCACTAATTTCAACTTTTTTCAGCCTAATTCAGCAAAAAATGTGATATTTCCACTTGTAATTTCAGCTTAATTCTGCCCTTTTAAGCTACTTTTCAGATGGTTTTTTTGTGCTAATTTCAGCTGTTTTTTTTTTTTCAGATAATTTCCATTTTTTGTGCTCATTCCTGCTTCATTTAGCCTTATCGGTCAAACATGTCCTTTCTGCTTTCTTCTCCTAATTTAAGCTAAATTTAAGACCTTTTCAACTTTTTAGCTAATTTTAGCTGTTTTCAGATCTCTGCTGCTTTCAGCCTCTTTAATTTATTTCTGCCAGATGGTATTTCAGCTAGTATTTAGCTGTTTTTATGCTAAATTTAGCTTTTTCAACTAATTCCATGCTCATTTCAGCGTCTTCCACTTTCTTTTGATAGTTTAAGCTTTTTCTGCATTTTCAGCTACTTTTCTGCAAATTTTTTTTTGTTGCTAATTTCAGCTTTTTTTTTTTTAGCTAATTTCCTAATTTTTTGTGCTAATTTCTTATTTAAACATAATTCAGCAAATATGTGTTGTTTCCGCTTTCTTCTGCTAATTTAGGCTTGTTTTTCCATTTCAGCAGTTTTTAGCTAATTTCAGCAGTTTTTCAGCAAGTTCTGCGAAAAGCATTCACACTGCATTTTTTCAAAAAATGCAATTTCTTTAGCTTTATTTAAAATTTTACATAATTTAAGTTAAACTGTGCTCACTTTTCCTAAATCTCCAGCTTTTATAAAAAAAAAACAAGAACCGTTGGTTTGAGCAAGGTGACGTAAAAAACGACCAAACCAAGCCGAATGAGTTAAAGCGCGGGGGTGAACATATGTTTGAATCTGTTTGGATGGATTTACATTTAAATTCACAACGGAGCGCTGGTGGAAAAACACCCAAACGGCTTCGTAATGACACGTGGTCCTGTGGATCAGCGGGTGAGACGCAGGATGTTGACTTTCACGTTTGTTGATTCCCATCAAAAAAACTTTTTTTTTTTTACCCTTTAAAAAAAAAGTTTTTCTCTTGCCGGTTTTCCTTCTATACTCCATAGATACTCCGGTTTATACGTCCTGCTGCACTCGTTTCAGTTAGTTTTAGAAATCATGTAGATGCTGTTATCGAGTATTTGAGTCGGCGTTCTTGTTTTAACTATCGTTAAAGAGAAGCTGCTGTGTTCTGTTCCCCGTTTTCACTGATTACCATTAAAAACGTTTTTCTTTAGATAAACGCTCTGTTGGTAACATGACGTCATCCCAAAACCGGCGTTTACTATCCTTGCCATGTCGCCGCCTCTGACTACGCCCTCTGCCAGCACGTCAACGGTCGGTTAGACGAAGAATGCTTCCGACCGTCAGGCTGGACCTGATTTTCAGGTCCGGTGGAAATGCTCTGAGAAGACGCCTTTTGGAAAAGTTTTGCCTGGATGCTGAAGAGGCGTATTATTAGCAACAAGTCTTTTCTGAAATTTCCGGTGTGTGCTAGGAGATTTTGTGAGAAATGCAGGATGTTTGTGTGCAGGTCGTAGCAAGACGCACGGCTTTGTGTCCGGAGTGTTGGTACTTGTTTTAAAGTTCAAATGTATATGCAGGCCAAGCAGCGTGAGCATCTTTCTGATGAAACAGCCAAAGAGTCATTCCAGCCTTGGAGGCTTATCTCCTCTAAAAACACCGAGCTGATAATCCAACCTTGTGTTCTGTTTACTGGTACGAACAGTTCCTAATAGGCCATTTTCTGCCGCACATGGTGTCAATGGAATATACGTATATACGTGTTGAACACATGAAGAGGTGCAAAAGGCCATGGAAAGTCATGACACCGGCTGAAATCTGTTAGTAATTATAAAGCAATCCTGTCACTTAATGAAAAATAAAATCAACTGGTTCAAGTGATAACCATAAAACGGCGTCTCATTACCGAGGTGCCACACTGCATCTCACGATGGGTGCAACGATGGAGTCGTCTCAAGACCGTTGCAACCTTATTGTTGCAGAACATACCGATGGCACTGGTTATAGAAGAGTTCTTAAACGTTGGAGAAAAATCTCTCTCGCTTGCGTTGTTTACCCAAAAGAATCGCACTCGACGGCAGGAGATTTTTTTTTAATCTGTATTTATACTTGCAAGGTCAGATTTCAGAAGAGGTTACATAAATATACATAAATCACTGAAAAAAAAGCCACGAGCCGCGTTATCTGTTCGCTTTAATACTCGTTTCATCTCAGCTGAGTTCACGGAGTTCAGGAGGTGTCCTTGGAGAAAGCTGCAGCCTTCTTACACAGCACTCTCCATTTACACAAACATATGGTTCATGGGCAGAGATGAGACCGTGTCTTGGGAGCTGGTGTTTTCTTGTTTTGGGCTTCTTGTTCTCAGGACAGAGCGGAAGAATGTTTTCAGCCACACTTATAAAAAAACATCTATAACCTTTGACCAGAAATTTCCTGACACTACAGCGTTACCCTTAGGTCAGTTGCCTTGGCAGGGTGCTCTTGTCTTGGAAGATTTTTGTTAGTGGGGTTGGAGAGATGGACACATGTCTGTGTTGTGCGCCTGTATGTTAATGCCGGCAGTTGTCGACTGTCAATCGGGGAGGGGGGGTTTGAGAGAAGCGGAGCACTACTTCCGTATTGCGCGCCACTAGCTTAGCGCTACATCATTGCCAGCAGTTGTTGACCGGGGGAGGACAATTTCCGTAGGCGGTGCGCTCTGTTTTGTTGACAGGGCGGGGCACCTTCCTTAGGTAATGGTAGGGGGTAACACTGCACTAAACTACTGAAGGTTCCAGTGAGGATCGTTGGTGTGATAACATGGAAGCAGAACATCATTTCACCATAAACTAGCCACGACCAGGTGCTCCCTATAAAGTTTCATACAAAAGAGTGAAAATAATTTTTAGAAGAGTCCAAGCCAAAGGATTCAAGGATTCAAGGTTCTTTATTTGTCATTCCACCACATGTGGTACATGTGATGGAACAAAATTATGTATAAAGGGTCCAAGTTACCATCATTAATTGTGATGCGTCCCACCACCGCTGTATCTTCTGCAAACTTTATAATATGACAGTCTGGTTGGGTAGCTGCACAATCATATGTGAGCAGAGTGAACAGGAGAGGGCTCAGCACACAGCCCTGAGGAGAGCCAGTGATGAGGGTTATAGTGGAGGAGGAGAAGTTGTGGATCCTCACTGACTGTGGTCTGTTTAAGAAGTCTAGGACCCAGTTGCAAACGGAGTGGCTTAGTCCTAGTGTGAGTAGTTTTTCCATCAGGGTTTGGGGAATCGTTGTATTGAAGGCAGATGTGAAGTCCACAAAGAGCATACGGTTGTAGGAGTCTTTCTGATCCAGGTGGGTGAGAGCAGTGGGGACCACAGAGGATATGGCATCTTCTGTTGATCGATTCTCGCGGTATGCGCACTGGTGAGGGTCCACGTTGATATTGATGGTTGTTTTGATGTGGGTCATAGAGAGGAAGGTCTGGGTTTCTCTCCTGGACCTGGAGAAAGTGACTAAAATCAAATAGACACAAGTTGGCACCTACAGAATGTCATCATCAAGTGGTTAAAATAAGTACAGGACCATACGCGCTGAGGATGAACTAAAAGCTACAAAGTCTAAACAGGTAATCTCCAAAATTTGCAGAAAATAACTGGGCAAAGATCCTCTGCGATGTCCAGATTAAGATGATGGTAGCAATCCCAAGAGGGAGCTGGCTCTGGATAAAAGGGTTTCACGAAGCTTGAGAAATAAGAACCGTTATATCCACAGTAGTGTTGGCGGCCATTGAGGGTGTCCTCATTAGTGGCATGTTCTGGGAACAAGGTTGAGTTCTTTGTCCAAAGGAGGACAGTTCTCTGTGACTGTACTGGATTGGAACATTTCAAACCTGTTGGACCTCATTTGAGCCAAACCAAAAAACAAACAAACAAAAAAACAAAACACCTCCAGACCTTTTATATTCCTTCAAAACATATAGAAATCTGTGCTTGCGCTCGGTTCTCTGCGACTGAACAGGACCCAGGATTACAGGAATCGTACCGTCTGCAAGAGATGCCCAATCTTCATCATTGAACCAGTTTTCTTTATTTCCTCGTGCTAATTTGAACCCCCTTTTTTCCTGACAGGATGGAGATACGGCAGTGAACATTCACCACCTGGAGTACGATGATGGAGGAATCCTGGACATGGACGACATGATCAGTGATCTAGTAGAAGACCGAGAAAAGGTGAGAAAGAGTTGGATGCTTAGATTTGAGTTATTTATTTTTACAGAGGTCCATTGCAAAAGATTGGAAACATGTATATATACTTTCGGTCTATCTTGTTCTCATTTCCAGTGTTGACGTCTGATAGACAGCAGAGTTTTCTTACAATTGGATCGCTCAACACAACAAATTAAGCGTTTGCGGTGGTAGTAATGTTATTTTTACCTGGTGTGACGGACAGTAATTTAAAATAAAAAGTGTCAAACTTAGCCACACTTGGAGTCTGATCCCTTGTGACAAATTACCCATCAGGCAAAGCAATGGTAATTGCATGCAGTTACGAGTTTTAAATGAAAATATACCTAATATTAGACTAAAACAGTTTTCAGTAAACAATTTTACCTGCCTGAAAACACATACAAGACTTTGGCAGAATTTAAATAATGAGCAAATTTATTCTTCTTTTCTAATTCCCAATAATGTATTCATAAGACGTGCTAATAAACTGCCCGTAATCCATATTCATAAGCCTCGGGTCTAGGTGAATGATAAATTACCAACACTTAGTCAGCAAGAAGGCCAAATAAAATGGAAATGGAATATTAAGTCGATCTGTGCTGGGCATTATTAGCTGGTGTTTTAAGCTGCAGAACAGCCGTGTGTGTGTTTTCTGGCTTCTTCTTGAGGGAAATAAGTCTTTTTTTGCAAATGGGGACAAAGCTAAATAATAGATGGGAATCTTCCGTCAAGGAGAAACAGTTTTTCGCAAAACAAAAGCTTCATCTTTTGGGACGATCTGCATGCGTGCAGGAGTTGCTGAGTCGCAGATTTTATTGGCTCATCTTAAAACTTCAACTAAGAAAGATGAAGTCATGTCACGGTTAAACTTGTTTTTTATTTTCTTCCTGCCTGTGCCGTGTCTTTTGAGGCATTACAGGCGCCGCCAAACATAATAGAACATACACTCTTCAGGAATTGTACTAATTTCACCTGGTCAAAGGAAAAGTTTACAAGACAGTAGTGAGACGGGCAGTGTTGCATGGTCTGGAGACAGAGACATGGACAAAAAGACAGGAGACGGAACTGGAAGTGGCAGAAATGAAGATGTTGAGGTTCTCCTTAGGAGTGACAAGGATGGATAAGATTAGGAATGAGATCATCAGAGGTACAGCCCAGGTTGAACAACTGGGAGATAAAGTTAGACAGGCCAGACAGAGATGGTTTGGACATGTCCACAGGAGGAATAGTTGTTTGGGCATATCCAGATGAGAGACAGTGGTTTGGACATGTCCAGAGGAGGGAAAGTGGCTTTGCTATA